ATCTTAATCAGGTGTTTTTCCCCGCATAAGTAATTGACCTAGATCAAACTTTTGCAACCTGATGCTCTCCTATCAGTGCTGGAGGTTCAGAGTGTGCAACATGGTATTGGGATTTTACTGGCCTATGTTAGAGTCCAGCCTTGCATATTCTGAGCTAGGTGCACCTGAAGAGTTCTGAACAATATTGGAAAGAACTATAGAATCCAGTCTACCTTCTGCAGTCCACTCCAGAGTTGACCAAGGAGAAGGGATCCTTTCTGTACAAATACTTTTACAGAGCAAATGCACCTCTTTTGCATCTCTTATCCCTAATTAACGGACACTTCTAGCCCTAAACATTTTACTTTTTAAATGACAATGCAAAGAACTCATCTCTTTAGGCTTTTGTAGAAGGTGAGTAACATTTAATTATTATTTATTTATCATTTTTATTTATTTATTAAAGTTGTATACCGCCGTTCATCTGCAGATCTCGAGGTGGTTCAAATATTAAAATACAAGATTAAAAAACACACACAATAAACAAAACAAAATACAAACTTTGTTTCAGAGCAGAACAATCTGATTCACACATTGGGCTCTATTTTCTGACTTTCTCACTTTTAGTCTTACCAAAAGTGTCAGAGAACAAAAAATAAACACGTCAACCAATAACCCTCTCCCACAAACACATTTATAAGGGGTATAAGATGTTAATCAGCCAAAGGGTCTGGTTGAAGAGGAATCACCTGGCACTTAAAGGTATATAATGAAGGTGCCATACAAAGGGGTATAATGAGCTTTGGTAGTTGGTGGCTATAAGCTGGTGGACATAAACCACCTGTAAAGTGGAAGAAACTGTTGAAAGTAGCTCTTAGGCTAAAAGAGTTTATCACTGTGAACTGATGCTTGAGGAAACTGATAGTGCTTTAACTACTGGCACTGTTTATTACTGCCGCCAATGCCTCATGCTAAACCTGTAAATATTAGACAGCTATTAGACAGAAAAAAAGCACTGGAAGTTTCCAGTGCTCTCTCTTTATAAGGAATGTAGCCTTGCAAAAGGTTGCTCTGGGTTGTATTGTTGTTTTGGGATGTGGAAAGTGACAATAATTGTCGATGCCAGTCCAGACATCTGACCAAAAGCATATTTATAGATGGAACTTCAAGATGCATTAGGGTTCAGGCGTTAATTAATATATGACTGCTAAAACAGATTAGGAGCGGAATTGCATAAGAATTTGTTTGTGTGCATCACAACATAAATGCTGTTTAAAAAGGAAACAATTCATATCACATGACTGCTTTAGCAAGGGTGTGTGTGTGTTAATTAATTCATATGTGTCATTGTGTAGAATAATTTTGTGAAGGTAGTCTTACATTTGTCTCTAGTTTCTTTCCTTTTCCTCTCTTCCTCTTTCAAAACCAGAAAGTCTCTTTTACATTCAGCTTGGATGTTTAGCTATAATGCTGTTCTAGATCACAACAATTTATGGGGAATTGAAAAAGCAATTTTCTTGGGATAGCTAGCTATTCTCCCTAATTTTCACCTGCCAGACTCACTGGTATGAATGTTGACTCAATCAGATAAAATGCAGGCTTTAAAGATGTTTGATTAGCTGCCTGGCTTACATTTAGCTATCCACTTTGCATGTAAACAGCCTATATATGCACTTCTCTTCCCATTTCACTGACAAACTATAGTAGACATAGTAAGTTAAATCCTACCCTTCTGTTACAGCATTCCTGCAGAACGGCACAGAGAAATGTGACATATTCCGCATCTATAAACACTTTTCTTTTATGAGTTTCAGATGGTTTAATTCTGTTGTATTAGCAGAAATAAATGGATACTGGCAATATAAAGAACTCAATCGGAGGGGGGGGGTGTTTCCAGAAACTTAGGAACTGATTATTTTACTTTTATCTGACAGGCTATTTCCTTACAAGGGATGAGTTTAGAGAACTAGGCTAACATGTGCGAAAGCTGGCTCTGGGCTGATTTTCCTGAGCCAGAATGCAACCCTGGGGACACATTTGCCGTAGCTAAGATGAAGGCTAGGAAGCTGGATGGAAATAGGGTCAAGGGACAAGGAGCTTGAATGTCATGAATATGAGGACAAAAGGGAGCTTCGGGGAAGGGTAGCAAGACAGTCTGCTGAAATACAGAAGCGCAATTGAGAGCCTATGAAAGAAGAAGAAGAAGAGTTTGGATTTGATATCCCGCTTTATCACTACCCAAAGGAGTCTCAAAGCGGCTAACATTCTCCATTCCCTTCCTCCCCCACAACAAACACTCTGTGAGGTGAGTGGGGCTGAGAGACTTCAGAGAAGTGTGACTGGCCCAAGGTCACCCAGCAGCTGCATGTGGAGGAGTGGAGACGCAAACCCGGTTCACCAGATTACGAGTCTACCGCTCTTAACCACTATACCACAAAGGGAGAAGACAATGGAAAGAGGAGTGGTGGAGGAGTGGCTTGAACAAAGTAAGGAAGGGAAGGGAAAGCTTTTTAATCTCAAGAGCCACATTACCTCATGTGTAACTTTATATGGGGGCACATGGTAGTGGAAGGTGGAGTCATGAATGCAATTCTTACCTTTGTACAATAAGGCAGCTACACAAAAGTTTGCAGCTTCTACACAAACACATGCTCTCTGTCTGGGAAAGCAGAGCCATTATTATAGTTCAAGGACATTCTAGCCACCCAAAATAAAGGACAGAGAATGCTTTGAAGTCCCCCCCCCCATCAAACAGTATTGAAGGTTGATGAAATAAATAAATAAGGGCCATATCCAGTCACAAGATGGTGGCAGAGGGAGGCAGATATTGGCATTATCAGCTGGCAATTACTGACATCACTTTCTGCTGGTATCTAAGCCATCTATAGAAATAGCTTAATTCCTTGTCACAGCATTTTCCTTGTGGCAATGGCTTTCTTCAAGCTGATTTGGACATACTGTATCTGGAGATATTTTGACTCAGCACCCCCATCTTAGGCAAAATTTGCTTATCCAGAGGCTGTAAGCGGAGGCGGCTTTTTCTTTTCTATTTTCCCCTTCCCATCTCCACATGCCCCCCGAAGTACTTTTTTACACATCACTCACAATTTCCTTCCCATTGCCAACTTGTCCTTATCCCCACTTCCCATATTATTTTATCACTAACTTCTCTGTCTCCTGGGCAAAGGTTGCTGGTGTTGCCTTTGGTCGAATCAAGAGTCTTTGGCCCAGCCAGGAGCAAGGTTGGCAAGTAAGGAGGTAGTGGGAACACTGTCACAGGGAACCATCTCAAAGCAGAACAAGGCCCACTGGTGGATTTTCAGAAACACTGAACTAATTGATTAAATCTACATCTGAGAAACATAGTTCTAAAATGGAGGGAGGCACACTTTGGGTTGGGCCCAGATTTGATGTTCGGGATAGGACACAAATCCAGCAGAGGCTCTTGCTTGAGGAAGGCTGAGGGTGTCAATCACTGGTTAATTCTTTTCCTCACATAGTTCCCAGTGCCACTTCCCATGTGTTTTTGGAAGGCCCTCCAACTTTCATTGCTAGCTTTATATGACCCATCCGTGTGTCATCACAGTAAGCATAGTCATACAGAAGAGGCATGTTCTCCTATACAGCACGTCAATTTCCATTAGCAATTTTTATAGATACTTGTATTAAAAAGCCTTAGAAACTCAAATAGGGATACATTTTCAGTCAATTCAGTTTTTAAAAGAAAACAAAACAACCTAATGGATTAATCATCTAAACATTGGAGCCATAATTAGAATAAACCTGCCCACACAACTCTCTGGGCTTTCACTTCTTAGGAACTCATATTTAGTCCTTCCAGGCTGAATATATGAATTACGCATCATTACATTTCTATGAGGCTTTTAAGTCATTGCTAGGATTAAAAGGAGAAAAGCATAATTAGAAATAAAGTTCAATTACTGGTGCTGATGATATTCATTCAGCAATGCCGTACACCTGGTGGCTTAAAAAAAAAGTATCCTTGATGTACATCCTTATTTTGTGCATACCCTGCTGAAAAAACACAGCCTGAAGAACTTGAGACTCTTAAGACACAAGACACATCTCTTCATACTCTAGGGTAATTTTTCAGTTTGATGTGCAGGAATTTAACCTCACAAACCCTCATTAATGTTAATTGGAGTCAGTGAACTAAATCCCCATGAACTGTGTTGAATATTTACCCTCCCGTCTAATAAACAGAAAATGGCTGCTGTGATACTGGCATTAATGTGCCTTCTTGTAAAAGGATAGACAGGTTTTTGAAATGCTTAACACTTACCTTGTAAGCCGCGCACTGGAGAAAAGCTAACTGCACTAAAATTGTCATTCAGAAATCCTGAACACTGAGCAGCATATAAAATGTGGTGAGGCAAAAACTAAAGCAGCAGCAGTTGCTCAAGAAAGGTCGAAGGGGGAAATCCAGTGCACTGAAATATATATATATATTAAAAGAGAGTTATGGTAGTGGTGGTGATGAGATTTCCGTTCCCTATTTCAGTGCAGTAATGTATATGCTGAACCTTGTGTGTGTGTGTGTGTGTGTGTGTGTGTGTGCCTAACATCCAGACTGGTTGCTCCTTGTACATGGGGCAAAAAGCATATAATTTAATGTTTACATGAATCTCAATTCATAAATTATATGTTTATAAGCTGCTCTCTCTGCTCAGTGGCACATGAGATAGTACACAAGGTGCCATTTTACATTCAAAAAGTTTAAAAATCAGGCAAAGTTGTTGTTGTTATAATACAGTGGGATTGATCCTAAGGTTGCTTAAGCAAAAAGGTTGCAAAAGGAGGAGGCTACTTGCACAAGCATTTTTACAGTCTTCCTTGATCTCTGATGGGTGAGAAATTCAGTTCACATTTTAATGCAACCTACCTATTCTGCACTTCCAGAAACAATACACAAAATGAAATGCACCCATCCTTCGAAAATTGCAATTCTACAAATCTTGCAGTGCAGTTCTCCAACTGAATATTGTATATGACAGTGCATATATTAAGATGTGTGTGTGTGTGTATGTATGTGTGTGTATGTGTACACACACACACACACACACACACACACACACAGACATATACCAATGAAAATAGCATACAATGTGCATTATGGTAGAGAAAGCTGCTTGCAAAAATTGGATATTAGGCAGTTGCATAAAAATATGTATATTAGAAGAGAGATCTACACTAAAATGCTGATGAATTTTCAGGAGGACTTTTTATTTTAATCACAAACTGAAGCAGGGATGTAGAGAACTAGAAAACAAAGGGGGCAGGGAGAGAAACTGAGAGAAACTGAAATTGACAGATTTGTCTACTGATCCCTGTGGCCCATAAAAAAGATTTCCAGAAAGTCAGAGGACCTCTTGAGCCAGGTTCAGTGCATCACTGGGCTGAGTGAAGTGGGACAGGGATTGCCAAAAAAAGGATAGGGATAAATTCAGAAGAGAACTTTGGAAGAAATCCTATTTAAGAGATCTATTTTCAATGGGAAAGTGGCAGCAGGTAATCATAGTCCAATCCCTAAAATGGTCATTCCTACACTGTTAGACACATGAATAAGACATTGTTTGTTATTCACTTCTGTCTCTTTCTCAGAAAAGCTCGCATAACATTTTCCAGGCTATAAACTCACCTTGCAGGTTTACAGTGCTAAAACACGCAAAGGTTCATCAGAAAGACTGTGTTGTGGGTTTGAAAGCTCATCTCAAGTACTTGAGAGCCAGTGTGGTATAGTGGTTAAGAGCGGTAGTCTCATAGTCTGGTGAACCGGGTTCGTGTCTCTGCTCCTCCACATTGCAGCTGCTGGGTGACCTTGGGCCAGTCACACTTCTCTGAAGTCTCTCAGCCCCACTCACCTCACAGAGTGTTCGTTGTGGGGGAGGAAGGGAAAAGAGAATGTTAGCCGCTTTGAGACTCCTGAAGGGGAGTGATAAAGCGGGATATCAAATCCAAACTCTTCTTCTTCTTCTTTTTTGTTGACCCATTTCTGATCTTTAAGACACCTGGGATTTTTTTCTGTTGGCAATTCATAAGCACCGACTGCTGATACCCATGGAGGAAACAACTTCCAGAGGGTTTTGTTTTTTTTATATAAAAAAGTATTTAGGGCCATTTTACAGTTGTTGGATTGCTCAGCTGGTAGATTATGAGACTCTTGATCTCAGGGTTGCTAGGCTGAACCCCACCTTGGGCAAAACATGCCTGTATTGCAGGGGGTTGAACTAGATGACCCTTGCACTCCCTTCTAATGCTATAATTATATGTGTCTATGATAGTGACATATTTTCTAGCAAAATCTTAGCTCTGAGCCACTATCGCTGAGGTTGGAGTCCTTGAATCAAGCATCACATAGTGGTTCAAGTAGAAGAGAGAAGTGTCAACCTTTGGGGGAATATGAATGTATAATATTCAAGAAAAGGATTTTATACCGATTGCTTTTAAAGCAGCCATGCTCAGAGTGAGTGTAATAAGCTACAGCTAGAGGTCTTCCTTCCCCTCTTTTCTCCTTGCTTATTTGTTTATTTCAGAAGGTGGAGGGGTAAGATTTATGCCTTACTGATAGGCATAAAATTGCTATGTAATGAGGTTAAACAAACATATTATCAGTATGCTCTTAGTGTGAAGGTGAAAATAAAGAGACCTTTCTATCACTGCAAAGGCCAGTACCATAGTTACCAATTTAGTGAATGGCACATGCAGTGAATAAACATTAAAAAAAAAAAAGACCCCCACTAAGTACATTAGCTCAATCATACCTGTCCATCACCGTCCTCCTTATTAAAGCATAACAGTCCAGTTCACTTTGCCAATTAAGATGACTGGCAGCTGTTTACTCTGATCTACATCTACATAAGCATTATGGATGCTTGATCATTTCTACTATCTTTGATTTCTCAGTTAACATGTCTTAAGCATTTTTTTTAAAAAAAAACCAAGAAGGCTCCCTTCCTGCATCCCCCCCCTCCCTCTCCATTAAAGAAATAGATCAAAAGCTATTTTTGGAAAATGGATGAAAGCAACCTTTCTGTTCCCATCAACCAAAAATGAAGAAACAGAAAACAGCACAAATAAATTCCATTTCTCAACCTGTCAGCCACATGAAAAGAACCTATTAAAGCATGGCATGAGGTGCCCAAAGAACTTCTGAGCAGACAAAATCAGATTACAAATATTTAAAGGGACACAGATATATTCGTTAAAATGGACAAATAAATCCACGAAAGGCACACCAGAACAATCAAATCCACTTTCCCAGTCAAATTTCACAAGCAGCATTCAGTTAGCACCAAAAGACTGGCAGCTGCTTCAAGAAGCCAAAAACACAGTTCGTTCATTCATTTTTGTTTTTGAAAATCTTTCTGTTCTCTCTATATGGAATCTCAAACACAGTAGGCCAGTCTCTGGAGCTGGATGAATGATTAGTTGCAAAACCATTTGTTGCTTTTCTTTCAGTCCCTCAGTTTCTCTGTGCAGAAACCACCTCCCTTTTTCCATTAATGACATTGTTTACAGTTGACTGAATATATTCTGCAGATAATTACAGAGCCCAAATCATTCTCCTCTAATAGGAACATTCAAAAGTTCCCCTGTTCAATATAAAATGAGATTCTTGTGTTCAAGGTTGGATTAAGATTGTTGGGGACCCTGGTACAGTTCCCCCTTCCCCAAAAAATGCATGCATGTAAATAGGTACCAGAAAACACATATTAAGGTATTTTAAAGACTGACACATTTATTATTATATAAGCTTTCATGGGCCACAATAATTGCCCTTTAGCCTGTGCAGTTTCATATTTTAAAATCGATGTTCATTGTTTGTAAAATAGAAATAAATCATTTTTGTGCTCACTTCCTCACTCGAATCAGTCACCAACTCTAACTTTAAATCTACTTCACATGGCTATTGTAAAGATATAGAAGAAGAGACCATGACTATGAAAGAGGACTTAGTGTGGAATTCAGTTTCTCACTAATACAGATGGTGTAGCATATATTACTTAAAAACATATATACAGAAACATAAACCTACAGCTGAAACCATCAGAGACACAAGTACCAAGAATGAAAAGCTCTATTTTACATGGGGGGGGGGGGAACGGACCAACCAATTATATGTTACTTATCCGAAAGATTTTGCACTGTTGAAAAGGCAAGCTGTTTTTCCATTCCAATTGTAACATTTATGCAGAAAAGTGGCTGTTCCTTTTCAACATGTACAGTGGTACCTCTGGTTGCAAACGGGATCCATTCTGGAGGTCTGTTCGCAACATGAAAAGCCTGCAACCTGAAGTGTCATTTCTGCGCAGGTGCGCGGCGCGATTTGGCGGTTGTGCGCATGCGCAAGTGGCAAAACCCAGAAGTAACCCTTTCCGGTACTTCCAGTTCGCTGTAGGAAGCAACCTGAAAAAACATAACATGAAGCAAACGTAACATGAGGTATGACTGTAGTGGAAATGTCAAACAAACACCTGATTCCTCAGCATTGTCTTCTGTTAATTTATACTATAGTTTTGGAGACCAGGTGTAACGACCATTGATGGTTCCTGAACTCCAGTTTGAGAGCCACCTTAGTCATCCAACTTCAAGAAAACAATGCAGAGACTTGACACAGGGATAGCATCTCTCTTAAGTCTTCATACCATAACACCTTAAGCATGTTTACTTAACCTCAATCTAGTAAATCAACCACGTTCTTAAGATGCATTTTAAAAGAAGATAAACGTCATCCCTTTTCACTTCTGCAAATCTAATGATGTAATTCGTTGATAACTTCAACATAAGGTTAAGCAAATTTGCTTCTGACTACTAAATGTCATCTTTCATATCTTGATCTTACTCATATTGATTTTCATCTAATTTATTTGCCTAGGGAACTCATATTTCATTTTGCAGCCTTAGCTTATAAGGAGGGAGGGTGTTCCAAATATTAGGAGAGTATAAATTCTGTATGTCAAATCAAATTGCTGATAATTAAATTAGATACCAAAGGACATAGGCTATTAAGCAATTTATTTATTTATTTTAGAAAATATATCAATAAGTATATAATATGATTTCCCAAGCGGTGGTGTTTTAGATTGGACTGGAAAATACTAACCAGTTGTCGTTTCCTTGGAGAATTCTAAATGGTATTGGTGTGATGTTGTTTTTAACAAGGCCAGCAATAGACTAATTCCACCATCAAAACTCAGCTTTTTTCAGAATAAACAGGGGCAAAAAAGGATATTGTAGAGCTAGAATATGTGCAGAAAACAGACAACAAAATGAGCAAGAGGCTGGAGATCTTGCTAGATTTGCTCAAGACTATACACACAAATGTACATAAATCTGTATCTTGCACACATTGTGGATAGAGGTGGAAATAGAGACAAGACACATGTAAGTGAGTCGTAACAAGGTCCACATTTTATTAATTTTCAGATATGTTCTGCAGAGGACAGCTATTACGGTTTGTACAGGGTTTCTGTATCAGGCAAGCATCAACCCACACAGGACTCCTTTCTCCTCCCTATATGTCTCATCCTTTCTGGTGGTTTGGAAAGTTTTGCCAATATTTCCACTCCCAGGTCCCCGGATCTCTGCTGCTGTTATCTCAAAGCCTCTGAGGGTTTTGAGTGGCAAACCTAGAGAAGCACCTACCCCCCTCAAAATCCCACCTAAACTAGTCCTTTACCTGTTAATCTTCCAACACCTTCCCACCCAAATGTGACCAATTAACCTAACTGAAGACACAGTTACACGTGCAAACTGCTGCTTTCACAGCATATTGTGGTGGCAGCATGGGGAAGGCTGCTATTGGTTTTCTCTGCCTGATGAAGGTAAGAGGGATTTGCTATTAAAGTGGAAGGCATTATATGTGCTTCACATGGATATACCTTCACAGTATATTCCAGACTTCTGCATAAAAATGTTTTGCTTCAGTAAACCGGAAATGACATGGGGATAGAGCTGGGCACACTGTTTGAGCTTTGCCAGTTACATGACACTTGGGATGCTAATGTTTAGTGCATCTTCTGATTAATAGGTGTTGGAGCTTAATGGTGGAATGTTTGCCAGGTCAAAAGAAAAGAGTGAGAAGACCACATAGATTCATTAAGCCAAACACCCAAGTACATGTATAACCCTTAATCACAAAATGTAGCTATAACATCTCGGAAAAACAAGAAATATCAAATGGTGAAGAAATATCAAAATCTGCTTTCAGGTCATTTGGCAGCTGAAAAAGAGCTAAATTACCAAATAGTCTTTGAACAGCTCCAGCAACTTGTGAGCCTCAGCTGCCAATTATGAAGCTCTAAGAGGCATAGCTAAATATGTTTCTTGGAGCATGTCTACATGCAAAGTGGGATCTTTCAAATAAAGAAAAGTCTTTACATTTCAACACAGCTCTTATTCTTGGAGGATGGAGTAGAAAAACATTAAATACCAAATATGCATAACATAAATAATGCCACATACTGGCAACCAGAGTGCATACCAAGTACCACTGTACATCCACTGCCAACATCATTTGTTGAAATTCTGCTTTTGCCTGACAGTGTCATAAGGCTCTAATATATGGATATTTTTGGCTACCTGAAATTCTGTATCAGTAAGCAAACCTTCTGAAGTACCATTTTCATGAACAAACATATGGACAGAAATGAATTGCAGTAAATTTCTAAATTTTGGGATACAATATAATTGCAGGAGAATATGCCCCATCTTGAAAGTGAGATATTTCTGGTGATAATAGTTTATTTTTCCCATTGTGAAAGTAATATTGGGAGCATTGTGATCTGCCTGAACAGGATAATGCGATCATGATGAAAAAGTCAAACGGTTGTTCACAAATTATCTGAAAAAGTCCCAAATGTCTCCTACTATTTTTTAACACTTCCTCCCCCCCATGAAGTCTAACTGAGGGGCTGAGCCCTGCCCTAATAGCTGTAACTAATTATAAACCGCTACAAATAGCTGTAACCTGTTAGCTCAGCAACTAAAAGGTTATTCTGCATTTAAAAGTTTTGCTCATTATAATGGTGGGATGCGACTTAGCTGGCACAATAATAAATATATTAAATGAATGAATATACATCATCTCACATCTCCCCCACATCCTTTTTCATCACCCTCAGATTCACACACTGACATTTTCCAACAGGCCCTTTCCACCTGTTACTCATTTTCTCATTCCCCCCACTGAATCTTCTCTCACAAGTTTGTACTAAGCATGTGCAGGGGAAACACTTATGAAATCCCATCGAATTGACCACAAATATGTCTTTTAAATAGAACAACAACAAACACCACTGTTAGACAAAAGCACACACTACATACATATATAATGTTGTTTGTATGCCACCTTGCCACAGTAGTCCTACAACAATAAATAAAACATTTAAAAATGCACAAACTGAACAATTCCCATATAAATCAAAACAGGATCTAAAATAAAAAGACAAAAAACAAAAACACCACCACCCTTGCAACAACTCCTCTCCTAAACAATACCCCAGTCCAAAAGTCTGTTCAGCTTTTGTAGCTGGAGTCAGTCAGGGTCCCACCTGCTCAAGCTAGGTGAGGGGGAAAGCCTGGAAAGCAGGGAACAGGTCTTCAAGGACTCACAGCCAAGATGGTTTCTGGCCTCTAGGTGATCCCCTTGACATAAAACAACAACCTATTTTCAAAGCATGCACAGTACGAACTGGTCAATCTTTCCAGAAACAAAGATAGCCCAGCAATGTCTAGGAAAAGCAACAACACACTGCACATATCAAATGGACAAAGTCTCACATCAAACGTTAAACTTGTTCAAAATAAACCATTTCTTAACTTTCTACTTTAAATTCATCACGGACCATCCTACAAAGTTACCTCTCATACACTGCCAAGTTTCAAATCAGAACTTGTCATTTTCTAACAACCAAAAAATCTCTCCCTCCCCCCCCCCCGCTGCCACCCCCTGGTTTTGATTATAATGAGAGGATGTGACTCAGCCAACCAACAACTGTGACCCTACAGTTCTTGGCCACATTTTTAAAAAATTAAATAATGGCATCATATATCTTACAGGTTTTGGATTTTTATTTTTATTTTTAAAAAGCTGTTGCCAAACCAGGTGTTTATTTACTATGGGTCTAAAAAAATACATTTTTTAAAAAAATGGAAGCATGGGGGAGGCATTGTTACAGTGGTACCTCAGGTTAAGAACGTAATTCGTTCTTAACCTGAAACTGTTCTTAACCTGAGGTACCACTTTACCTAATGGGGCCTCCCATTGCTGCCACTGTGCGATTTCCGTTCTCATCCTGAAGCAAAGTTCTTAACCCGAGGTACTATTTCTGGGTTAGCAGAGTCTGTAACCTGAAGCATCTGTAACCCGAGGTACCACTGTATTCTGATGGCAGTGCATAGTGGGAGAGATGTAGCCCTCTTCCTTAGCCACAGCAAGGATAAGAAAAGCTCTACCTGGATAGCTCAGTTGGTTAGAGTGTGATGCTGATAACGCCAAGGTTCAGGTTTGATCCCCATAAGGGTCAGCTGCATATTCCTGCATTGCAGGGGATTGGACCAGATGATCCTCAGTGTCCCTGCTAACTCTAAAGTTTGATGATTCTATGAGACAGAAACGACCACTCCCACCAATGAGATAGTTCCCCCTAAACATTATAGCTGTGTGGAGAAGAATTAACTGCATCACAGAGGCAGCAACCAAATCTGTGATTCAGACAATCTCCTGGAGGGAAATGATACCAACATACTGAAGTTAAAACTCTGGGGATTTCCATTAATTGTTTGCTATTTTGAGGATGACTTCTTACCGTCACCATGCCAGATTTCAGGATTCTGTCATACCTTTGTATTTGTTACTTCTCTAACCCTCTCCTCTCCCTATGAAGTCATCCCAGATGAGTTGAGAGATCATGAGAGATACAGAGGCTCCCAAGGAATAAGCATGTGTTCTTTGGAAGAGGTAGCATTCCCTTATCCTCCTTAAATAACACTCCTTCCCATGGCATTATATATAGAAAAGGCATTATTTTATTTTGATACCAAGTGCTGTAGTTGGTATATATCGTAAAAAATAATCAAAATTCTGCGAAACATAAAATATCTCCTAGTCACATAAACATGACAAAGTTGAAAATCAATAGTGCTCAGCTTATGTAAACAGTATACATTCACAAATCATTTCCAATGAAACATTTGTACACCAGCAAAGAACAAGCTGGCATGTTCAAATCAATATGTAGAACCCTCTCACATATGCACATAGTTTCCTTTGACTGTTATTTGTGAAACACACATACACACTTCTCTTTGACCCTCATTGTTTCCTCATTTCTTCAGGGCACAAAAATGCATACAGGCAGCGACCAATTTCTGCACATCCAATTGATGCATGGCCACACACCTGCACATCTTGCCAAACCTAGAATTGACTTAAAAAATTACAAAAATGGCCCTAAAAGGACCCAGAAAGGGCAAAAAATATGTGACAATTGCCTGCAATCCCAGGAGTCCTTGCACTAACCGTTGATGCCTGTGGAGAGTTTGAGTTTGAGTAAAGAGATTTGGAGGAAGCAATTGTAGTGGAGTTTGGCAGAATTTGGCGTCTGATAAATGCTGCTGGTTTTTCAAAAGGGTTTTTCAAGGGCTTCCAGAGGTTTAAAGGTTGTTTGCAGACTTTTCCAACTGTTTTTTCAATTGTCTCCATGTTTTATTGATAACCAAGGGCTAGTGTTCAGGTATTCTTCTGCAAGTATTATGGATGCAGTGAGAGTCAGAAGAGTAAATATTTTAAAGGACTCTCCTGTCTTTTTTCTCTCCCTTCATCTCTTATCAAGTAAGTTTACATAACTCTATCCTGAGCTTTAACTTCTTGCCCCATGGTATACAAACATTTCTAGATTACTTAGAATCCTGGAGAGAAATTTCATTTCATTTCTACGAGGTGGGTGTAAATGTAATTTCTCTGGCCTGCATTTTGGAGCGTTAGACACACATTTTCATAATTCTGAGATGACAACTCTTTTTGTTTTACTCCCTCAACAATTTGTTTTTAATTTACTTTATACTATTGCCTTTCTCTCTCTTTCTTATATCTGACCTGTTTCCATGACAGGCAATTTCCTTCTCTCAAATATCAGTTGTTTTATCCAAATATATTAAAGTTACAGTTGAACAGAGCTCACATGGAACTTCTGAAGTTGAACTCAGGTGGCCCTTTATTTTTATTAAGTTAAAATGCTGGTGATCAGTTAGCAGGGCAAGGGAGCTGGGGAACTAAATCCAGCTCTCTAACCCACACCCCACCCCTCCAAATCAGCTATCAGTGTGGTTTCAGCTTTATTCTTAAACTACAAGTGTGCCAATTCAGTCAGGTTGAGGAACTGCATGTGTACTTTTCAGTTACTCATGCAGTGCCCATTCAGTAAGGCAGGGCTGTCAATATAGCATCTTCCAAATATTGTTGGAACTGGAGTCTCAGCAGCCCCACAAGCATGGCCAAAAGTCATTGATGATGGAAGTAGGAGCCCTTAAATAGCTAGAGGGTACCACATTGACTAAGGTCTGACCATGGAAGCCTGATTCAACATGCACAGAATGTCTAACTGGATCAGGCTTACCAGGCCAACCTTGGTCTATTGTTTTTATCATGAAGGGTCTTCTGTCATATTAGAGTTATGTCAATCTTATATTTATGCCAAGTTCTACAGAGATTCACACATACCTCTTCACAGCACTGCCTCTCAGCTTTCTCCTCCTTAGACTCAGTTTTCGCATTGTATAACTTAGCAGAAAGTAAGATTGAGACAAAACAAGGAGAAGTTGGCTTTGCCTGTCATTGGCTCTGGCTCCACCTACTGCTGGCCTCCTGTCTTACACAAATCCCAGTAACCACAAGCCATTACTGCCAGGACATACCACCCACCAGCAACTACCACCTTGAGACTATTTCACTCATTACACAGTCTGATAATCCAGGCTGTGGAACAGTTGTGAGAAAAGAGAATTCTCTTGCGCGCGCTCGCTCTCTCTCTCTCTCTCTCTCTCACACACACACACACACACACATAATCTGTTACTGCTTTATTCATGAGCCCATGAATCATTTAAATTATCTTCTTTACTTCAGAACAGGCAGTATTGGTCAAAGCAAGAGCTATTCATCTGCCCATTTCCTATTCTCATCCTATTGTCTCTTCCACTCACCAGATAAAGTCTAACATATCATAGGGATGGGTTTTGTGTCAGGGCTCTTTTGTCTTTGTGGCACTGTTTGAAAGGCAAACCTTTCACCAAATGAAAACTGGCCTCATCAAGGGCAAAAAAGTTCTGACTTCTTTACCTTGAGAAGGATAAAACTAGATATAGCTTCCACTGGAAAGGTTCAATCCATCAAACACACAAAAAACTGAGCCAGATATGGAAGAAGTCATCCTTTACCTTGTCACACCGAAGGAGTTGCACGAGATAGTCACACGTCTACATAAATCTTGCCCGCTTGTGCCAAGGGGAGTTGCAATATAAAGTTAAGTAATCCATCACTACAAAAGGGATGGCTCTCCCTACCATATCAATAAACTTGCTATCATGTCTTTTAATTATACACAGACAATGACTTAGTTGTTTTCCTGGAAGCAGAAGCCCGTCTCCAAGCAGAAGCATATGTTGATGAACCGTTGTAGGTTGTGGCTTGGGTTTATTTATCCCCTACTAGAAATAAAGAAGTAAATGTTCTGTGACGATGTGGCTTTCAGGAGGCCAAAGTGTTAGCTTTTCTTCTTAATACTGGAGTCAAGCAATATGTTCTGCATGTGGCTGGCATTGTCATGTGCCTCCCGCTAAAGTCTGTGAATGCTGAGCAGAATAACAAAGGCTGTAGGCAATAGAGACTGCTAATAAACATCTCCTGTATATCGTGGGATGGGAGTAGTAGACTGTAGTGACTTCCAAACACAGTGTGTCGCTGGTGCTTACCAGAGGGAGGGGGTGAGGCATGGCAGCGCCAATCCAGCACTCCTGTTAAGTGCCTACAGAGTGACAAACTCCCCACACATTGCCCCTCACCCAGTAACTGGAACTGGGAAACAGCTGCTGGTGAAAACCAAACATTCAATGTAGCCTGGATTACTTTCATTTCCACAAGTTGAGTGAGATTCTGAATATGGACAAGCATCAATGAAGGGAAAGGTTCTACTGGGCAGCATCCAGATGGGACCTCCAAGTGATCAAATCTTCCAGATGGTCTCCATGGTTCCTGTTCTCAAAAATGGAGCATTTTAAAGCCTTTTTGTTGTCCAAACTATTGGCTTTTTCATTAAGATCTGTCTTTATTAGGCTGTGTTCCCAAGCAATGCCCTCAGCTGCACTGGATGAGTGTTATAGTAAGATTCCATATGCAGATAGACTCTGTATTTCAGGGCAACCACAAGTAGATGACAATCTTTATTATTCGTTACATTGCCCATTATACACAGAACCTAGGAGACACTTTCTAAATCCCCCTGTTTGTTCACGAAACCATTCTCTCCTTGGCAGTGAGGGCTCTGTAGCTGTTGAGTGACTCTAATGCCTCAGTGACTCATAAGGTACCCTTTTTGCTGGTGGCAAGAAATATTAGGAAGAAGGTATGGGACAAAATAGCAGTAAATTGTAAATGAGATTTGTAAATGAGATTTAAATGGAAATACACTGTATGTAGTTGTGGAGGCTCCTCATTTATAGTCTTTCTTGTGATACATGGGTCTACTGGTTTTGTTATGTTATTGACTGTGTTTGCATGGTTTTGTCGTGCTCTTCAGCTAGCACAATAAAATCCTGAACCTGGTAAGAACCAGTGATATGCCATGTTTGGAAGCTGGGAGGGAATCAGTGCCCCACATTTGCCGCTTGCTCAGCAATCCACCAAGCTTAATGTAGTCTACCAACCATGTATTTATTGTGAGACTTCACAAATGCTTCATAAACTTCTTGTTTTTGCTGCATGCCTTGGGCTGCAAAAAAAAAGGGGAGGGGGGAAGGCTGTTGTGCACCTGGAAGGCCACAATACCTGGTTTGCGTTCAGCCCTTGGTGAATTACACTTTGTGCAAGCCTGCAAACAAGCAGCTGTGCACATACTGAATGAAAGCCAAGTCTGTCCTGATCATAGCTGCTGTGGTCTATCAGAGCAATTGCTTCCAAAGTTGCTGCTTAGTGAGTTTCCCCCCATTTCCCCTGTGCAGCGTATGCAAAGGGTAGGCAAGTGTTTCTCCATTTACTTCTGAGTCCTCTGTAGTAATGATACTGAGACCATCGAGCTTGCGAAGGCTTCTCTCTTTTCAGTTTGGTGTCTGGGGTTTCTCTCCTGCACTAAGTTGCATGCATATGATACCCAGGCATTACAAGCCAGATTCAACAAAGAAATACTTTTTAAAAAACCATTCTTGGTTATTATGGGCTTGAGATTTCACTTCAGATTTGACACAATTCTTGTTTATTAATGCAAGGTAGACTTAGGAGAAGAATGAGAGATAGGTAGCAGAATATTTTTTC